CCTTCAGAGATGCCTAAACCACTTCCTACAAGCCTATCTATAGGAAGTTAACATGGTCCTTGAGCATTTTTCTTACTCATACTGAATTTGTGCATGATGTTGAAAGCCAAGATATGGCAAAGAATAAAAAAAGAAAGTGAGGACCCTAGCATTGTCCAATTGCCCCTTTAACCACAAGATTTTTCCCAATGTCCTCAATCATTAAATCCCTACAATGGATTGCACAAGGTGTTCAAAACAAAAGCCTTCAGTTCAAACTAGATTCCTCACTGCAACATATTTTGCATTGTTTTGTGCGACCACTTGCACCAGATTTTTTCTGCAAAATAACTTCATCTAACAATTTATACAAAATAATATGCATCATATGTGTGATTAGATGCCTCAAATTACCAAAGGATACAATGTTCCTAATGGACGGCTAACCAAAAAGAACAATTACAGAAAAGTCTTCCATCCAACTTTTGATCAAACATGATTGTAACTTGGTAACCATGTAATTTGCCGAACCTTTTCTATGGGTTTGCATCATTTGCTTCACATCTTTAAATTCACCCTTTAAGAGGGCACTCTAAGCTCATGAAATGAAGAAGCACTGCACAAAATCGAATTGCCCAACAGCCTCTCTAATGGTTTTAAAGGTATGCAAATGAGCACAACTGAATAGTATTTCAACTTTGTAAGATGGTAAATTATGTATCTATACATATTGTTCATTTCCTCTATTTCAGACTTATTTTCTATTGTGGTTTGCCTGGTTTTTCTTTTCCTATCTTCCAAAACAACCTCCAGCTTGGCGCAAAATGCAAGCATTAGCCCCAATTGGTGAAGTTCCTTTCCCCCAAGTAGGTCAACACTCCACAACCAAAAGAACTTCCCCACTATTCTGAGGCACAACTCGGCAACTACTACCAATCTCAATCTCTCCCTTTACATCCACTATCAAAAATTCTGCCACCATCCTTTAACTATAGAAACCTCCTTTCTTTGCTTTCTTTGTGTTTATGCAACATATCAAGGTATGCTTTTATTCCTGTTTAACCAACATCAGTCACACTAGAAGCCTTTAAATCTTTGGTAGTAAGAAATCTCTCCACATGTCATTTAACACAAAAGATACAAAACAATGGCATTTCAAACTTTCAGGTTCTGTAGAAGAAGACAAAGCCACCACAAGGTAAAGGGATCGTGGAATAAATCTTTCAATAATATGTGTGTTGATGTCACGAAAATACTAATGAATCGATTCAAATGACAACTTGCTGACAAATCGATCAATTCCAAAACAGAAGTGGGAAAGGAAAAGGAGTTCTGATTTCTTATGTTAAATCACCCAAATTTACAAAAGTGCTTTGTCTATTAGGAGACGCAACTCTACATTTGCATCCCTGATGCATCACACATCCATCCTAAGGATGAATGTGAAAAAGTGGTAACCCCACATTGAAACAAAACCAATGGTCAAAATTTTTCTTCAAAAAATGTAATTTTTAAAAAATTTAAAATTTAATGTTTTTATAGAATAATGCTCCCCATGTTAGAGATTTGATATACCCAAAACATTGAGTTCAAAATCCATCTCAAAAATGGATTCTAGAGAGAGGGTGCATCTACATATGAGTCAGCTGACCCATAAAAACCATGTTCAAACAAAAATAACCCTGCTCTGTCCATGAGCAGGCCATGTTGAAATACCAGTTGGGCCAGGCCACATGGTCAGGCACCTCAATAATGCTGCCTGACAGGCAGAACTCAAGGGAGGCAACCATAGAGACAGCATCCTAGAGCCCCAATTAAAAAGCACCAACATGGAACTATGAAAATAAGAATATTGGAGAAGAAAAACTTGGGCCACATCTTTAAAAAATCCTAAAGGGTAAGCTTATGGGTGTACAAACATGCACAAGTGCAGAAAAATGCATCACACACATTACTAAATAGTGTGCCATTAATAAAGAAGTGGGGCATCTGTATTTAATTTTATGGAAGAGTATCATGGGCATGTTATCTAGTGACATCACCTAACAAGATCAATTACTCAAAATCAATCAACGTCAGACAACATGAATTTCTTTGTCTATTTTTATCGCTCTTCTTGAATTTCGTTTTTTTAACAGTTTGATTTACCAGGTGAATATGAGAGTATTTCAATAGACTGTTAAAACTAAACAATGGCAACACTATAACTAAACATTCATATGAGTGGCTCATTTGGCTTGCATCTAAACCTTAACGCACAGAAAAAAGTAACAACTGGCATAAGGAAAGAGGTTTAATAGATCAGTGCACTAAGGCAAAAATATTTCCTAAAAAAAAAGCCCTTTATCCCTCAAAAAAAAAAAACTCAAAGATTTCCATTTTCTTATTAGTTAATAGATAAATAGGATGGTTACATAAAGTTTGAATGAAAAACATACATAAATGAATTGAGAATGGCATCATCACCTAAATGCCATGAGGACTATTCCTAGAATGAGAGAAAATCGAATAATGTCCATGTCCTCAAGCCTTAATATGTTCTTCAAGCCTCTCTTTGAAGTAGAACAACGTTTAAAAACTTGAACACGGCATGGGAGTTGGCCCAATGCCTCTCCCTGTACCAAGTCAACACAATAAGTCCTCAAGTGAGAATTTAAATTCTTGATAAAATCTATCAAATAACACTTGCCGAACCCTTAAATTTTGTTCAAAAATTCAGAAAGACATCAATTCGAGTCAACCCCATGAGTCCCAGGTCTTTTCTTGAGTTTTAAATATTGAACTGGAGCATAAATAAATACAAGTGAATCTGTTGATTATATGTTTCTATAACTACACATAACCTCAAAAAATAAACATCAAGGAAGACAAATAATGACATCCAAGTAGTATATCTATAAATAATGCTGATCCGTCCACCTTTCTAGGGGAGAAAATGACAAAAATAGTCCTTCCCCCACGTTGACGCACCTGCTTAGGATAGGCACATAGGCAGGCACCTCGGATATGTCACCTGAGTGGCAAGGCCCACAGCGGCAGCTGCCTAGAGCCCCAGGCACACCAATGACTACACTGACAACTAAAACAGACCAGTATGGAAAAATAAACATAAGAATATTGGAGAAGAAAAACTGGGGTCACAGTTTTAACAAGTCCTTGAGGATAGGTGCAGGTGGTGCATCTACAAACATGCTCAAGTGTAAAAAAACTCATACCACCCATTAATGGAAAACAGTCTTTTTGGATTGTTATCTACAATGGCAAGACAATAACAACAATGACTCAAAACCAATCGACCTTTGAAGACTTGAATTTCTTTAAGCTATTTTTAGTTGCTCTTCTTGAATTCTTTTTTTTTTTTTTTGTTCTTTTACACTTTGCTTTTATCAATTTAAGACCAGAGAATTTCAATGGAATGGTAAAGTGAAACAATGGCACAGTATTACTATAAATACATCCATGAGGTGGATCATTTTGCTTGCTTTTAAACCCTTAGTACACAAAAAGTAACTAATGGCACAAGGAAAAAGGCCTAATAGATCAGTGCACTAAGGAAAAAAATATTTTCAAAAAAACAATACACTATTCATTCCTCAAAAAAAAAAAAGTTTTCCATTTCCTTTAAGTTAATATGTAAGTAGGATGGAGACATAAAGTAGAATAAAAAATGTAAGCAAATAGAATGAGAATGGCAGCATTCCCCTAATAACATGGATGATTAATTCTAGAACGAGAGAAAACATCAGATTATGACCATGTTCTCTAAAATATATGAGCCTTAACATATTACTCAAGCGCTCTCTGCAAAGAAGAACAAGGTTTAAAAACTTAATTCAGCTTGGGACTTGGATTAATGCCTCTCCCAGTCACAAGTCAAGTAAATCTTCAAGGGTCTAAAATCTTGAAAAAAATTATTAAATAACAATTAACACTTACCTAGCCCTTAACTTCTGTCTAAAAATTCAGAAAGTCATTAATTTAAGTCAACCACACGTCTCAGGTCTTCCCCCTGAATTCTAAACATTGAAGTGGAGCATGAATAAATATAACTAAGTTTGTGTATTATTATTTTTGGATCTAAACTCAACCCCAAAGAAGAAACCTCAAGGAAGACCAATAATTACAGTGTAATTTTGAATCTAAACCTTAAGGAAGACTAATGGTTACATCCAGGCAGTACAGGTGAATAATGAAAATCATCATCTCTCCAGCCTATGCTTGAATATATTGGTGAACAAAACCATTTTCCATATTGAGCTTGAGCTAAGTGGTGAATGTGACCTCTGCTCCAAATTATGTTGAAGTTAAGAAATTTGTGAAAAGGAATATTTCCTTCAGCCAATCATTGGATTGAACCTCCCCAAGACTCTCAAAGGTCAATAGTTGAGCCTCGGTTCACTGATTTAATCTTCGCTATTAAAATAAAAGCCCAATAGATGATATCCCTGCTGTTTTATTCAAAGATTGCACACACAACCAACACACCAAAAACAGCTATGGCCTTACTCCCATTCCTTTGGTTCAACAGTATGCTAAGGATCTGAACAAACCAAACACGAAAGAAAATCAAACGAACTATCTTGCTTGGATGGAGTAGCCATGTGTACTGCGAAGTCGATGAGGCGAGGGAAGGGAATAGCAATGACGACTTCCAAATTTTATTTCTGCTGTTTTTTGGATGCATTGCCTCTTTACTAGGGCATAGTGCATTTGGTTCCATTCATGTAGGTGGGGATCATATTGGGGCCACAAAATAGAATATTAATACAACTATAAATGAAACAGATAATTAGTACGACTTACCATAAATTATGGTAAGAAAGAGTAAACAAAGAAATACATCCATTACATCTCCTAGCAACTAATTATTTGCTTAAATAGATTTAGAGACTGCTCATAAGATCAAATCATCCTTAAAATACCATCTCAATCTCCAAATTTAGATTTATTAAGTATTCGTCACTGCAACAAGTTATGATTCTGAATGGATGTTTCCAAACTGGTTACACATTAATACTTACAATATCAGCTTCAGTGTGATGCGTTTGATATTTCACATTATCCAACTCCAAGTCAGCTTGTCTGGTTTCCTCTTGCATCCTCATAATTTCAAAAACCTAATAAAGATGATAGAGTTAAATTTGTAGTTTCTCTAGAAAACAAAAAAGAAAACAAATCAATCATTCCATTCCCATTTAAATTCAAATTGAACAGCAACCGATTCATTCATCACCCCAACGCATCAAAATTAGAGAACTTAAATAATGAATCACATAGGTGAAAAATTACTCAATAAAAGTCATTATCCACATAAAATTTGGGACCAGATTATCATGTTGCATGTATTTCATGACAATTGCTCAAGTATTTTGATGGCCGCCAAATTTCACAACACAGCAATTCTTTTTAAAGCATACATTCTTTTTCTCCATCAATTTTTACTAGTTTTTTTAAAGCATACGTCCTTTTTCTCCATCATTTTACTAGACTTTTACTGGGTTTTTACCAAATTCGAGAAACCCAAAACCCATCAAGTAATTGCTACGAAAAATGATATACGACCATCATCAAATTCCAATACCTGCTTGGAATAGGGCGACTTATTGATCTCTCGCGAAGCTTTAGCACCTCTTTCCAGTGATTCAGGATCCAAACTATGTGAACCCCCTTTAGAGCTTGCATTTGATGCTTTGTCTTCTGGAGAATTAGAAGCAATAGGGGCCTGAACATTCTGAGAACCAGGATTTGAACCAAATAACGGAAAACGAAAGTCTGCATAAGCACGATCAGATAGTGCACAAGCAGAAGCAACGGTAGCCACAATGCCAATAAATGATTTCTTTAAAGCCATTTTTTAACTCTCATTTGCTCAGAGATGGCTTCTAAGATGTGAAGGTTTGACGTTAAGAACAGTAGAAGAAGAAGACATCACAGTTTCTCTTCTCTCCTCTTGTATTTAAAAGATCTTCCCTTGAGGTTTCCCTCTTCATATTTTTCACTCTCCCTCCCATTTCATAGACACCGCCGTAGACTTGAATTCTTAAACCCTAATAAACCCCACTGGCTTTCTTTTTCCTAAAAAAGGCCTTAAAAATTTACCTACAAAAACTACCTTAGAAAGTCGAAGAGAGAAAACACGAGGTACTTTGCTCAAACTCTTGGGTGGAACTTTCGACATTTGGTAATCGAAAATTGTGGCAATTTCAGTTCCCAATCTTAGTTTGGCAAACGGTAATCATATAAAATTAGAAAAAGTCCACACCTTCTCAAGTTGGAAAGAGTAAAATGCTACCGGCAAATGCAGATTTTCTCAGGGCTTGTTTGGGGACCTGGATTTGAAGGGCATGGATTCCTTATGTATTGGATTTTGTCAAAATCTACCATTTAGATTGCTTAATGACTAGGATACTTAAAATTAGGAAAATCAAAATCATGGAAATAAGACTTATTTTTTCATGATTTTATTTCACATGGAAACCTGTTCTTTTGTATATCCAAAACTCATGGATTTCACTCATTCGCTCCCTCCATTTTCTGGAAATATAGGGAGCATTTGGTAGATATGAAAACTTTAAAGAAAAAATTAATATCAAATTTTAGAGAGAAAAACTACCTAAAAACATTTAGAGAGAAACTATCTCAACAATTTTTTGAGAGAGAAATTGTTGCAAAATTTATGCTTTAGATAGAGAAAGTATTTTAAAATTTTGGAGAGATAAATTATATCCAATTTTAGATGGAGAAAGTAAATGAAATTTTTAGAGAGAGAAACTATCTCAAATAAATTTAGAGAGAAACTATCTCGAAATTTAAGTTTTAGAGAGAGAGAGTATATCAAATTTTAGAGAGAAAAAATGTATCAAATTTTAAGGAGACCCTGTATCAAATTTTAAAGAGAGAAACTATAGAGAGAGAGAAAAAAAAAACTATATCAAACTTGAAGTTTTAGAGAGAGAAAGCATCTTAAAATTTAATAGAGTAACTATATCAAATTTTAGAGGGAAAAAGTACATAAATTTTTTTTAGAAAAATAAACTATCACAAAAATTTTCATGATCTTTCATTTTCCTTATTCTATGATTGTTGTCATTATGAAGCTGTGCTTTATATATTTGGGCCTTATGACACTTTATATAGTATCATTATGTTCCAAAGTTGAAATTGCATGGGCATCGGCTCATATAAGATTATTATGTGAAACTATTAATGCTATTTAAGATGAATATACCGATTTATTGTGAACAAGTTTTTGCATATTTTATTTTCAGATGAGATAGGTACCAGAATGGTATGATTTATTTTCATGATATTTCATTTACTTGTTTGTTACTGACGATGGTATATTGTTATTCAAAATCATAGTACTTATCTCTATTGTCACTATCTTTTGATATTTAAAATAAAAAATCTCATCTCTACTCTCAAGACCGTATGATTCTCTTTTTTATCTCTCTCTACTCTCCAAATCCATAATCTCCAATATATTTGTTCTTTATCTCTTATTCTAGAATCTCTCTCTAGGTAATCAAGCAGCAAAGGCATGGGCTATGATCCGTCACGATACATATTATGTAGTTAGGAACTCTCTCTATATGCCTATCGCTCTACATTATGCGGTTAAATTTTCTTCTATTTCTATCTCTTTATGTCTCTCTTGCTCTTGAAGAAATGAACACCATAAATCAACAACCAAAAACATAAACGAGCTTCAAAGGCGAAAAAGAAGAAGAGAGGAAAAAAAAAAGAGGAGGAATAACGCACAAAGATTTTCTTATAGAATTGTCATTTTGGATTTTGATGTGCCCCTTGCCATATAGAAAACCAAGGTTTGTGCTCACAGGAAGGGAAATATTTGAATGACAATTTAAATTTGAGGGGAGGAAGATGAAGAAGAATAAAGAACAAAGAATATGGAAGGTCAAGTTGTGGATGTTGCATACTACGAGTAGCTTGTGGAAGGACGTTGAGATTCCAAGGCTGATAGAGTTTGTCGGAGCCTGAGAATTCTGGAAAAAATTGGCCAACAAACCATCTGCCTGTGAAAAGAAATTTGAGAAATCCAACTTCTAGCAAAGATGGAGATAAACCAGTCAAGTTCTTATGAAGGTATGGTTTTACCAAATCTAAGGATAATGATACGTGTGGTTTCGGGGTTTAATTGCTATTTGAATCCATATTTTGAAGCTCCATTGGCACCCATGAACTAATTCTATATTAAATATATATATATATATATACATTAACAATATAAATATATAATATATAATATATATATAACATAATTAAATATATAATAAATTATATATCTATTATATATAAAATATAATATATTTAATCTAATAATATATTATTTATAATATAATAAATATATATTTTATATTATATATACTATAATATAAGATATTTATATATTATATAATATTATGTTATATTAATATTATATTATATTATATTAATAATACTAATATTATGTATTTATATTATGCATAGTGAATAGTGATCAACAAAAACGTTATGAAAGATTAAGTTCATACTTCTCTCCCAATAACTTAATCTTTCATGTTTTAACAAAGGAATGAGAACTTTGTTGGAAGATTACTTTCTAAACTTTTAGATGGAAACTGAGGGTCAAATGCATAACTTTTGAAAAATAGAGAGATTTCTTTCTGAAAGAAATCTTTCATAAAAACAAACGCTCCCTTGGAGAGAGAAAGAGTTTTGAATCACCCCAAATGGACATATGAGTGAAAATAACTATACAACTAAAAGCGTACTTTTAAATTATGTTGGCTTGAAAATCTATGTGCCTTCCATTGTCCATCGATTCTAGAATTCTTTCCAAAGGAAGTGATCACATTAATTACAATTATTGTACATTATAAACAAAAGTTATTGCTTATTTAAATGATTTGTTATTCATATTTATGATTGCTTCCTGATGATCTCATTTTGTTTTTGAACATCTTTCCAATTGCAAAAAATCAAGAAGCCCAATAACTACTAATAAGCTTTTCTCTCCAAAGCCCTGGCCCTCAAACGGTTATTTCTTTGCTATCTAAAGGTATGAGTAAGTAGTGATGCTAATAATTATAAAATAAGAATTTTTATATTTTCTCAGTGTTTTCCATAATATATTCAATAAAACGCTTGATAAAACCACTAACCAATTACCCAATATATAATAGTCCATGCATGCACCCATAAAACTATCAAAAGTCAATAGAATTAACCCCATGTGTATATGCTTTTCTTTTTTTATTGTTTCTTTTTTATTATTATCATGCATGTTGTACTTCCATGAAATCAAGCATATGTTCATTTTTATGTAGTGCAATATTTATTTGCTCCGATCTTATTTGTTGTATGATTTACTGAATTATTATGAAATACATATTAAAAAATTGTAGTAACTATGTAATAAAAGAAAATGGGCCGTAACCCTAGAAACCACTCAATTTGTAAGAGTTTTTTAAACAAAAATCAATGTAGAGACTCACGTTCTCGTGCTTATCTAAGAGTGATTGAACGGGCATATCAACATATTCAATATGAACAGTATCAAAATTACAAAACTAATATTTCACAAGATGTTTCTACACCATTGACAAATACTATTCTTTCATCATCAAACCAATTCTCCAATGACAATATCCATGACCACTTAGAGAGAAGAGATCTTTTGCATATGGATATAGCTAATGAAATATATCCATCAGTTTTTTAGGATACATCGATTATTGACAATGACAACGGTACGAACTCAAAATCATTGTCGTTCTATACAGATTTTGCTCACATAGTTTTAGGAGAAAGAAAAACTTATAAACTTCATTATCCTGCTTTTATTCAGATACACCATTGACAAATACTATTTCTTCATCATCAAATCAATTCTCCAATGACAATATCCCTTAGTAGTCGAAGAGAAGAGATCCTTTGCATATGGATATAGAAAATGAAATGTATCCATCAACTTCCGAGGATACCTCATGTATTATTGACAATGATAATGTGTGCCTACTCAAGCCTCTCATTATTTGTCGACATTGTCATGCAGTCAAATTGCAATGTGAACCTCTCACTTTCTGTTGTGGAGGAGGTGGAATGGAGTTAACTCACCTAGATACTCTGAATGAAATTTATGAATTATTTACCCAATCATCATATTATACAAGTCAACTCCAAAAGAATATTTGAGGATTTAATGGTGCATTACAATTTACTATGTTTGTTACTGGAAATGATAAAGCAAGTTCTCAAAACAGAAGCGGCAAAAATAATTCAAAAGTGAAAGGGCTTATCAACCATCGCCTTCCATCTCTAATCCCTAATGAACACTCTTCGAGGTTCTTGCAGTTACATTTCTATGATATAGATAATAAAGTTGGCAATCATCTCAAACATTGGGATATGCTAAACCCCACATTGATTGAGCTCCTCACACATATTTTACAGAAATATAATTCCTATATCTCAGTTCTTCGAAGCTTGATTCATTACCATTATTTAAGACGATGTCGATTAGTTATCAATTGTGACCCAAGACTAGATCAAAGAGCTTACAATGAACCTATTTTATTACATATTGTTGTAGTTTGGATATAAACAGATAATGATGCACAAATTCAAGGTATGAATATTGTTGTCCAATGGCAATATGGAGAAACGATTAAAGTATCAGAAATTACAGGTTGTTATGATCCATTACAATATCCATTACTTTACCCCCATGGTGAAACATGATAGCATCCCAATATATTCAGAAGAGAAAATGAGTCCAACATAAAAAAATGATATATTACTTGTCGTAAATGTTATGCATATAAATTGCAAATAATACCTGGTGTTTTGCGAAGCAGACGGCTCTTACAACAATATTTGGTTCGCACATAAATATTTTGTGGGAAATATTTCTCAAAAAATATTACGTATATAAACACTCTACCTGTGCAAATATTTGTATATGCATTCTTTTTATGACGTTTGGTGTAGCAAATTTAAAAGCACTGCATCAACATTTTCATATGTTTGATATCACTTGGTGTGAAAATATATACCCAAAACCTTGAATATATAATATAATAAATATATCTATTATAAATGATGTATTGTATATTATATATTTATTTTTTATTATTATTATATATAATATAAAAAATAAATAATATACAAATTTAAGATTCCTTATATTATATATATAATTATATTAAATAAATATATGTTTTATGATATAAATGTTATATATTATAGATAATAAAAAGGAATATATATATTATATATAATAAGATATGTATTAATAACATAAATATAACTATAACCTATAAAT